CTGGAGTTCGTGGTTTCTCTGTTGTTGCTGAACAACAAGGGCATGCAGATTTTGCTCCCTCAGCTGAGTTTGTCCCCCCAAATCCTGCTGCCAGTGTGGCTGGGCGACTCCAGTACTAGCAGAATAGTGATAAGGAGGTTGGTGTTCGTGCTCACGTAGTGGAAGGAAATGATGGGAGGTCAGCTGCTGCTGCTCTTGGCCGAACTGATGATGATAGAAGGGAGGAACACCAACGTCTTGCTGCTGCTGCTGCTGCCACCGCCAATGGGAATCGAATCCACTGAGTTCACCAGAAGGAAAGGACTGCTGGTAAGGAGTCCTTTCTACCAAAGGCACAGGAGGATGACTGCTGTATGATGGGGCCGGAACATAGTAGGGAGTACCCTGTTCTCTGGTATCACTGAAGGTCAAAGCTCGTGACGGAGCCTGATGTTGCTGACACCGGAACTGCGTTAGCCGCTGCTGCTGATGCCATAGGGCAAGATTGCTCATGGCGGACTACCTGCCTCTATTCTAGCTAGCTAGCTACCCATAAGCTACAGTAATAGCAATGAGACATGAGATCCGATACCCAACAGCTCTCGACTTCGTTTGAATGGGTTGGCAGGGTGTCTTCTATTAGTGCTACACTGTACCAGCTAGTACGTGGTTTCATACATGTGTGCACATAAGCCTTGCATGATTGCTGGGAATTTCTGATTTATTAGTACTCTTCTACAGCGTACCGGTACTGATGAACGATGCAGCAATAGTAAACTCGGCAAAGGCCTACATGTCCTAGTACATGTAGTACTAGTACCGTACAACTGTACGACTGTACATGTACCATCTCGGCAAAGGCTGGGACGGCATGCGCATGGTGGATTCGATTGAATCGAATCGATTGAATCATTCATCCATGCAATGCCGCGGTTCCGCATGCCGCGATCTACTTCGACGCATTTTTTTTGACCGGGCCCGTTCCATGTGCGGAGCATACCGGTAGGGTGCCGGTATCATACAATATCCACATGGGCGAGGAAGTTCCTGCCGTGAGAGATTCGCCATGCATACCGGTAGCAGAGAATGCGATGGATCTTGTCGTCGTTGGAGAAAGCAGAAAAGAGTTCTGTAAAATGGGCGGTTGCGATCCGACCTTATAGTTCTTTGCGGTTGGAGTATAGTGGGGAGAAAGGCACAGGAAGAACGAATCGATAATGAAGATTCAACACGAACCGATAAGGGACGCCGTTGCATTCTTTCATTTGTGCTACAGATGGTTCATTGAATGTGTTTGTCAGTGCAACACACCTGGGCTTTCTTAAGTAATTTCACCGGGACTTGACTGTTAAGTAAACGAAAGGGGTAAAAAATCGATTTTATGTTTTGAAGTACTATTTTACGGTTTTCCTCCTACATTTCAACACAAACCACAACTTGATCACCAGTCGGATTCGATTCGATTCTGTTTGTTGTGGCCTTGTTGTTGTGGTCCATCCGTACCGTACTACCTGGTACCAGTCCTGCGAACTACTATGGTACGGTACTTCTCCTGGTTGTGTCACTCAAGCGCCGCGAGGGCTTGTTGTTGAGGGTGCGGATGCCGGCTGGTTGTGTGGGTGTGGTTGTCGCTCAAACGCCGCGCTGGCTAGTTGTTTGGGTGTGGTTGTCGCTCGCCGCGAGGGCTGCTGTTGTGTGTGTGGTGTGCTGTTGTCTGTGTGGTGTCGCTCAAACGCTGCGAGGGCTGCTGTTGTCAGCCTGTGGTGTGCCATGGTGCTGTTGTTTGTTTGTTTGTTGTTGCTGTTGTTTGTGTTGTGGGCGTTTTACGATTTTAGTGCTTTTTTACTATTCTCAATGCTGGCCGTTTGTCACAGAGAACACCTGCTTAAATAGAATTTTTCACTTCCTTAAATATATTTTTAACCTGTAATAATATTAAATAACCTCCTTAATTACTGTCAGAACCGCCCAACGGTGTATTGCCTCTAAAACACACCACTCACTTAAGGGACCTGCCCCCACGGTTTAACCATCGCTTCGCTCCGGTTAAACCTGGGGCCAACGGTCCCATAAGTGAGAGGGTGTGTTTTTAGAAATCGAGTTTCTGTCCTCTGATTTGCGGTCCCGGTACATGTTGTCGTCTTTACTTTCGAGTTTCTTTCGGGACAGGTGGAGCCAGAGACAGTCTCCAAGGAAGGTCCTAGCTTGTACGATTACATGGGCTCGTCTGCCGCGGACGATTCTGCGCAACAGTCTCTCAAGCCTTCTCATGGGCTCGACCAATTATTTCTTCGAGTTGGGCTTCAACATTTTGACTGTACCAGTAGGTTGATAAAACGGGGTACGTGTTGTCTCACTTGCACACCTTTTGATCAGCACCTTTTTGATCGAAGAAGTCTCTTGAGCTCACCATGCCATTTTCCCCTTCTTCGCCGTCACAGCAACTCTCACCAGTACTGTGCAATTTTCGCCTTGAATTCAATTATTGTTGACGAGCACGAGTCCCTGGGGTAGACATGCGATGAGGGAACAGGTGGGAGCAGATGAGGCCCAGAGATATCACACTCAATACGAATGAAGGTCGAAAGTACTGTCCTGGAACGAAGACGTGCTTGTGGAGTGAGGAGGAAGAACAACAACAACAGCGTGATGAAGACAGTGGAGATGAGAACGAGTGCTTCAAGCTACGTTTATTCCTATTCGACTTGTTGCAAAACAATTACTATAGAAATAAATATTTACCCTCATGACTGTCTACCAAACCTACAACTTGTGCAGTTTAATACTTGCGCTTTCTACTGCGCTTGGCCTTGTTCCCAGAGGAAGCTGCAGAAGAGGTGGTCATCGCTTCCTTCTTCTTTGCAGCTACCCTCGTACTTCTAGCGCGGGCAGGAGCCCGCGAAGCCAATTTTCCTTTTGGTGGCACATCGCATCCCTTCTTGGCAGCTCCCTCAGATGTGTTTATCTCCGACGCCGATTTTCTTTTCCCAGAGCCCCCTTTCTTGGCAGCAGCCTGGGAAGTTTGGCCAGCTGTTTGTTGCTTCGTAGGAATCTTTGCGCTGCCCCCCTTCGCTGATCGCAACTGCGGGGGATTGTGTGCGAGCCCGCTTTCCTCCTGGTCAACATCCACCCCACTTCCCTCCCCTGCAGGAGCCACGGTTGCATCATCTGGACCCTTCTTGGCAGTACTGGACTTCGGCTTCTTGACAAAACTGAAAGTCGTCCATTTTGGAAGCAAGTCATGGAAAACGATCACGGAGCGTTGCTGTTTTCCTGGAACAATAACCCCATGAGTGAGCCAGGAAGCCCCAAAGATGAGACGCTGGCCGGGTGTCAACTTGTAGACAACAATGGAGTGATGCCCCTTCGTATACCATTTATTGCTTCTGGTGTTGTCCTTCAAGGCATCCTCATACAGCTTGACATTCTTAAGGTCCTCCTCACCAAGACCCTCCTTCCACTTAACGTATTCACCGTAGTCTCCATGTTCAGTATCAAAGTCAGGTCCCTTATCTGGTCCACCTGGCACAATCACAAAGTTAAAACTCTCTCCTTCCACCACATAGATCGACACCATACTGAAGAAGTTCTTGTCCCTGTGATGTTGGAAGTACTGGATTTCCTCAGAAAATTCGCCGCGGTGGTACTCACCTGCATTAAAAAGTGCAGGAGCCTTTTCATCCCCAGGGACGGGCAACTTGATACGGGCATCCAAGGCAATTTGCAGCAACTCATCTCGAAGATTTGGATCCCTGTGCTCCAAGATGCGATTGCGACTGTCCTCAGCGATCTCAGCAATGAAGCTGTGCACGTGGTAAGGGATGCTTTGATCGACCAGGAGACCTGCTTTTCCGTCACCCAAAACATCAATCTGGCTTTGGTCAGTCTTGGAATGCCTCTTTAACTTATTGTCGTTGCCTTCCATCATCGCTTGCAACACCTGCTCATTATGGAACTGGATGTTGCCAAATTGATGATTTGGGAGTTTCTCGAAGTTTTTGTGTTCGTTTTTCGGTTTGTATGACCCATCCTGCAAAACCTTCATGGCCCTGAGTGTGGCACACTGCTTTCCCCGCTCCTCCGATGTCTTCATTATTTTCTTTCTGACACAAATAACACCTGCATTTGTTTCCATGTCCCTCCTGGCCATCTCTATTTTTGAATTGTTCATAGTACGTTGCCATCTGTGCTGACGGCAAAGCAGCCGGCGATCTTTGTGAGGCAATGATTCCCTTTCACAATGTCTGCATTTTTTTCGTGGCTGACGCGGACTGCAAGTTTGTCGTTGCTGCTGCTGCTGCATCAACTGCAGGTTTTGTTGGCCGCCATCATCATTGGAATGTTCCTGTTGACTACTGAGCTGTTGAGACTCCCGTGTGAGGCGCTCTATTTCGAGGCGGAGTTCATGGTTCCTTTGCTGCTGCTGCTGATGCTGCTGGACAAGAAGTTGATCTGGTTCTTGTTGGCCGCCGTCGTTGGCAAACACATCCCAACGCTGATTCTGCTGCTGTTGTGACATGTTTTGCTGCTGCAGTGCAAATTGTTGTTGTTGCTGTTGCTGAAGAATGGGTTGCTGCTGTTGTGCAAGCTGGAGTGCATAGGAATTCAAAGCGGGGGGCGGAAACATACTTGGACCCAAGCTTCGGCCCAGACCAGCACCAAAAGGCAAATTCCTTGGCGGAACACCATGTTGCTGATACTGGCTTCGGTTGCGGAATTGCTCCAGACGCTGCTGCTGCCGAAGCTGCAGCTGCCAAAGGGCAAACTGATTGCTCATGTGAGACGGTTTGCTCCCCCTGCTATGCGATCAGTGGCCCTCTTTTGCGGCGGTTGCCGGTCCTTGCCATTTCTGTTTTCCGATCTTGCTCGTGTTTTTCCGTCGTTCGAGCTGAAGGTCGAGACTGTCTGGCCTGTAGTCCGATCCGCCAGCTGACAAAACGTTTTTTCGGGGACGCTCTAGCTGGGCCACGTGCCAATTTCTTCAAAAATTTGGAAAAAGCGGCTTTACTTATGTGCCCCACTTCCCCGACGGTCATGCTCTTGGCCAGGTTGCGCCTCGACTTATGCGTCCGCCGTTCCCACTTGCGTCAACACTTAACGCTCTTAGCCCTCGACTAGGCACGTGCCACAAAAAAGCTGGCATAAATGACTGCTGGTCAGCGACGCCTTTTCACCGCTAGATACAACGGGCAGCTCACGAATTAGATCCTCGGCAGAAAATCTTCTGTTGAAACGAAAGGTTGTGGACGACGCCCTAGTAGATCTGTTCCGCAACAGCAGCGTCTGCTTCTAAAAATTTGGTGCACGCCGAGCTACAGAGCTCAATGCTCGTCCACTGAGTAGATTATTTACATTTGGTTGCTACTTTGTTCTTTCTGGTCGGCGGCGACTTTCGTACAGGAGCCTCTAGCCAATGTCCCGCCGCAATCTAGCCGGTTCAGTTTCTTCCAAATTCTCGAATGGCAGTCTAGTCGACAATGAGCCATTGGACTACCTCCCAGAAAACATTGAGTCTTGCCAGTATGCTGTCCAAGAACGACAGTTCCTGAGCGGAACAAACTGTGGGAACGGCATCAAAAAGCCCAATATCCAACGTTGCTGGCATCACGATCTGCCCCAGATTGACTTGCATGGCACGGCACCAAACAGAAATACTTCCACCCAAATAGTCGGTCACTTTGGTTCCTTCTGGGAACTCCACACTGAGGGTCTGGCTTCCGTCGTAGGCTTCCAACTTGAGAGCGCTGCAATTCTGACTTGCTGGGAGCAACATGAGTCCGTCCTTGCTCGGTTCAACGTTATTGTCGGCCCAAAACAAGGCATCAGGGGCTTCTCCGTTGTATGTAAAGTCTCGAATCTCAATCACTTGATCCGAAATGACAACGACTTCTCCACCGACGTCCATCTCGTCACTCTTGCCGCCACTAAGAATTCCAAGAGAAACTTCACCCCGAACTGCACCGACCCAAAGGCAAGCCAGCGACATCAAGATCAGCTTCCAGTTCATCATTGTCTCGCTTGTTATAAAATTCGATTGAGGATTGTTGTTTGCAACTGCGTAGAGAGAGTGCTACGGTAGAACACAAGGATGGAATTGTGCGATGCATGACAAAATCAGCGACAGGACCAGGACGGAAATTGTCGCAAAAAAGTGGGATTCCCACAATGGCCGCCCGGTGTCGCGGGAGGCAGCGTGACAGCGAACGAAGGCACGCTTGTGTGTCAAGTGAACATCGAACCAGCCTGTACATATTAAGCCAGTTGAAAGGTCAGAACACTCACGAGACAACGTGTGACTCTCAGGAACCTGCACCGTGCTCAGCGTACATGCCGTTGCATCACCCCTGCCCACCCTTTCGCAAGGAAAGACTATACCTGTAGCAAGCGAAAATGGCGCTCTCCAACAGTCGCATGGAGGTCAAGTTGTTGGTTTCAAACCACATCCGAAATACGTGCAATCTGCAGTCTTTTCACTATCCTACATTAGAAAAGTTGATTGCCACAAGCGCGATAGTTTTGATTTTGATGGGTTGGTGAAGATTGCATCATCGAGTACCTAGCTAGAAAAACAGTAGACCATGACAGACGTCATCGTGAGGATGAGTACATCCCTTGTCCGGAGACGTCCTGAAGAATTCGAGGTGTCTGAAGAATTCGAAGTGTCTGAGGAAATCGAGGTGTCTGGTGCCGTCGTCTCTCCGACTGACTCGTGTCCTCCTCGTTCTTGCAATGTTGTGTAGGACGTTCCGGCAAGCTTGGAACTATAGGCACCTTCCTCTCCAGTGATTTCTCCCAAATAGGACATTCCTCTGTCTGCATGACGATAAAAGTGGCAGTGTCCTAGCATCTGCCCGGTTGGTCCACCGATGCTTAATCTGATCTTGGCTTTGCCGTAGTAGTCGTCTTCCGCGATTGTTGTTTGTAGCACGTCTTGGAAGTCGCCAACTTGAAAGTATTCCGCATGGGCGCCCAGTTCGGGCAATTCAATCAACTGGAACTTGTTTACGTGGTAGTGGATGGGATGGATTTGCGGCGCGTATACATCTACTTCCCAGATTTGACCATTTTCCAGACTAAAGTCAAATTCGCGTCCTTCGACTCCATCAATGCCTCGGTGCAGCGGGTTGAATTCCGCCAGCCCATTGACATCGTAGTATGATGTGTTTTCACAGCAATCAGGTCGTTCGATAGGCAATTCATCACCCAGGCCTTCTCCGCTGGAGACCAAACCAGACAAGACCACGTAGTCAGAGTTGTCGGGTTCCATGTTTCTCATATCTGCCAAGTAGCACGGTCTGTTTGGTTTGAAGATCGGAAGGACATCAGGATTGCTGTATTGCGTCCCTTCCTCGGCTGGCACTACATTCAAGCGCGCCAATAGTCGATCCAAACTTGGGCGCTTCTGAGAGGCAATCCAATTGGACGAGTTTCTTGCCAATGATAAACTTCGGAACTCGGCCATACCTACTTCTTTGCATCTAATCAGAAAGACAGCGCGGTTACCAGATGTCATGAATCCAGTTGAGACGTTGAGTCTGGGTGTCTCCATCGTGTAGACGCCATCTTTGGCCAGCAAATGAGCTTCGCAGCCGGGAAAGGCTGGTTCCAGAGTGCGAAACCGTGTAGGGACGTAGAGGATTCGCGCCCGATACCATTGGTTCTGTTGGATTTCCAAAACAGGTTCTTCCATGCCATTCACCAACGTAGTTTCGTATTCGAGACCATCCGGGGAGATGCTTGTGTTGTATGCCCCGGCGATCGGACCATCTTCAAAGCAGAAATGCACGCGAGCGGCCTTCTCCAAGATGTGTGACCGAACCGTGGCTGCAAGACGAGGGTGCTTGACAAAATAATTAATTGCAGTAACACATGGGGGAAGTTAGTGTCTTGTACGGTGAGCAAGCCAAGATGATCGAATGATCCAATCATTCCCACGCAGTAGAAGAAGCCCACGCACACACACAGTGGTAGCTCCTCAGTAGTTCGTACCACAGAGCTGACGAACCGAACGCACCAGATCTCTGCTGTAGACCTTCTCACTGGCCAGGAACAATATGATTCGATTCATTCCCCGCAGGTAACTAACGGCATCATTTCGTTCATAGGCAATATCCTCTGAAAAGTGTTTCTTATTATGCGGAAAAACAAGCAGTGGAAATTACTATCTAGCTAGGCATATTTTCTTGCACCCGTTCTTACAAAAGCTGTTGCCAGGCGGGACACAGTTGGAAGGCTAAATGCGGTTTCCGGTGCGCACGAGCGGCCATTGGAAAAAGGGATGGTGTACTATTTTAATTAATATTATTATGCACTTTCCACTGTGTATCGTTATGACGAGCCGCCTGGCATCCAACCTTTTCTACCGCTTCAAAATACTTCTTGTTGGAGCTCGCTGCTACCATCAATTGTTGTTTTGGCAAGCAGTTCTCGCAATAGTCGTTTCGCACTCTCGAGAACTTGCTTGTAAATAAATATGCAGATGGAGAAGAAATAAATGATGTAAACTGCCAGCTATCGTGCTCTAGTGGCTGCCACGCATCGCTTGTTACTTGGTTGTTTGGCCGCGGGTAATCTAGAAAGGTGCACCTTCACTCCTTGCTGGCTTGCTGCTGCTTGCGTTCTAGCTAGTCAGCCCAAGTATCTACCTCTTCGTCGGCTGGGGCTGGGCCTGTCAGCTTGTCTGTGATCCTTCTCTTCAATGATTCCATGGGCTTCGTTTCTTCTTCTTCGTGCGAACTCAAGTCCCTGGGAGATGCAGGATAAGCGATGTGAGCTGTACCGTATGCTGCCATGATGATAGCGCCGTGATGGCCGGCAAAAAGTTCCTGGACCTACCTGGGTGCAATCATAAGGGTTCCGACGGGCACTGTTACTCGCTTCTGCAGGTTCGATGTCTGATGAGGGGTCGAGAGCTCTTGGATATCTGTAGTTGGAACCAACAGGCTACCCACACATTCCTTGGTGACTTTTGGGTTGGATGCCATGGCCGCAATCGTTTGTCCACTTTAGTAGTTGCTTTGTATTGCAATAGGAAGTTTTTTGTGAGATTAAGGAAACCAGCAATCAATCACCGCAACGAAGTTGGGATTGAGGATCTTAAGCTGTACCGGTAGGATCCAGCTACAGCATCCAGTACTATGGTTCTGGTGCGTCAACCCCTTGACAACACGCTTCGCATCTGATGGCTCTGAAAGCGGGTTACGACGCGACTCTGACTCGGCAACGCACGAGGCAGCAGAACTGTGGCGTGATGGGTTGACTCTGTCAATCCCAGTAAAATTATTTAGTATTCTCACTTTTTGCTGCATTTGATAAAAAAAGGCTTGCCTCTGTCAAACACAGATTCGACTCTCACCTTTTGCTGCATTTGATAGTGGACCCTACGTGTGGGAATGTACTTCGGAGGTCGAGTGCAGCATTACCACGGTTCTGCAGTGCTCTTGCCCCCGAAACGAATGATTGAATCGAACATTCAACAATCGACGATCATCGAAGTTGAAGATTGGGCGAGTGCCCTTTCTGTTCAAAAACCGTTCAGGTCCAGGCGCAGGCTCTTCGCGAAGTTGGCAACGTGGCAACACGGGCCACAGACAACAGACAACGAACAAAGGATCAACAATCGTCAAGATGCTCCAGAGACGAATACTCAACGAAACGACGCTCCTGTAATAAGGTACAAGTAAGGGCTCTGCAATTTGTCCGTATTGCCACTACCGATGTATCAACAAGCGCAAGCTTCAAAGGCAGTGTAGTTGTGGAGGATGGTTGCAACCACACCGCAGATGTGGCGCTCAGTTTCCTTCCTCTTGTTGACAGGAAGTGGCTCTATTTCCACCTCTCCTGCGGCTAGCTAGCAATTTGGTACGTACGCACACAGTCTTAGACAAGCCTACCACTTATTAGCATGTTTATTCTCTATGCAATCATCACTTCCACTTCACTAATCACTCCACATAATATCTTTTGTTTGAGTTCTTCACAGCGTCATGCGAGTCGCATCCCTCAGTTGCTGCAAATTTCGTCTGCTAATCCATTCAGTTAGACCACTTTGGATCCACGTCCGTATTTCTTGTAGCAGTAAGAGATGGCTCCCCCAATCGCAAGTCCTCCGAGAGGTGCAAGGGAAGCACCAAAGGCCATCTCCAAAAGCCAGCAGAGAGCAACCACCATGGCAACAACCAGGGCAATGGGGGCCTGAACTACCATGCTCTGACCCTGGACCCACTTGCTGGCATGGAGAATGAAGGAAGCACCATAGGAAATTCCATCCTTGTCATAGGAATTGCAAACATTGGAAGAGATGGCCCCCATGCAAAACACACGGAGAGGAGCTGTAACAATGTGCATCTGGTTGTGATTCAGGGTCTGAAGGAATCCCACCAATCCAGTTTCTTCAAGAGAGATATAGGAAGAAGCAGAAACGCCGTTGACAAGGAGCGACCCACTTTGTGTAAAGGGGGCGTAGATACCTTCCTTGGTTACAGTGGTGATCTTTGTAACCTTTTGCTCTTGACCATCGACGCTGACAAGAGAATCTCCCACGTTGACACTTCCTGCCTTGACTGGAAGCTCCTCCCCGGCAACAAAGATGAGATGTTCGGGAGAAATCTCAATGGGCTTGTTGTTGGCTTCCATGGTGTGGAGCTGCACAAAGGAAACCTCTTGATCATGGCTATTGTGGCCAAAAGTGTAGATTGGTTGGTAGTTTCCAGCAGCATCCATGACAAGGTCACCGACTTGCAAGTCTTCCATAGCAACCTCCCCACGGCCCTGGACGAGGCATGTGGAATCTCCAGAGAAGCAGAATTGGACGGATGGTGATGGAGTGTTGTCCGGGGCGGCCACTGGGGCTGCAGTTGGGGTGGTGCCAGTGGTAGGTGTTGCAGCTACAGGCGATGCACTTGGAGCAGACGTGGTAGAGCAAGCAAATGTGCAGTCTCCCGTGATGGTGCCTGAGTAGGTGAATCCGATGGATGAAACGTCGTACTGAACAGTGAAGGTACTCGTTCCGTCGAAGGTAACCGTTGCTGTCACCGAGGACCCACAACTATAAGGTGATGTAAAACTGTCAGAGGAGATAGAGAGAGATGCAGAGATCTGTGTGGAGGAGACGGAAGTAAGACTTCCACTGCCCGTACAGCTCTCACTGCGGTCATTGTTGGTCAGAGTACCGCGAAAACCACTGGCCGAGTAAACCACATCAATGGTCCACGACTGTCTGTGTGAAGTTAAAACAAAAAGCTTGTTAGAGAAAGCACTCAATGATTAGGAGAGCCCCCCCCCCCCAGGAGGCTTGTTTGAATCTTACCCAGCATCAGAGAACGTGGTAGAGTAAGTACCATAGGCAGTGCTCTCTATGGTCGTGGATGCCAGAGTGCCGCAATCACAGGCAGCGCCGCCATGGAACAGGGCAAAGAGGGTTGCGATCAAGAGGAAAACCTTCATCTTTGTTTGATGCTTGATTGTTTTTTTAATTCTTAGAAGTGACTAAAGGAGCAGCCAACAAAACAAGTTGTTTCTTTGTTTTTTGCTTTTGTCTTTGGGAGAGAGGCAAAATTGTGAGAGTGAGAGAGATCAATTAATTTGGGTGAGAACCGAGGAAAACAAAAAGACCGCTCCAAAGAAAGGATGAGCTACTGTACTGGATCCGCGAAAGCTTTAGACTACACCTACTGATACTGCCTCATTACTAGCTAGTAGGGGTTCCGTCCAATGTTTCTGTGCAAGATTCTCACATACATGGCTAAGTTCACGTTAGGTCTCACTGTGAGCCAAAGAGTACAGCATCAGTAGATCTCGCATCCAAACTTACTTGCTCACGTACTAGTACTCGTGGGTGGTACTATAGTACTATTAATTAATAGTACTGTCCGAAGCTTGTCAATGGTTGCGGTTTACATCTGCCGGCACTGGCTTTTACCAGCTAGTAGTGTCACTATAAATAGTACCGGTATTACTCTAGCTACATTCATGTAGTACGTACAGAGTATTGGCAAGCAAGAATAAATCCTTTTAGCGGTAGTACTGACACGAGCAGGGCGTGGTACTCACACTGTTTTAGCATGTGAGTATGGGTACTGAGTAGTACTCACAATTCCAAAGTCAAGTGAGTATGGGTACTGAGTAATACTCACAATTCCCAGGGTCAAGTGGGTACGGGTATCATGTGAGTACAGGTACTTTGTGGGTACTATAGATACTCACTGAGTACCATAAATCAATTACTTAGGGAAATTATTTTGTTTTTTCTAGTTCTGGGCTGGGGGCTCATCAATCTTGTTGTAAAGGTCCACCATGGCATCAATATCACTGTCATAATCCTCCTCTTCACATCTGCTGGCAGTTAGCTTGAGGAGAGCCTTGGTCCTATTCTTAGCCCATTCCTTTCTTGCATCATTGAGGCATTGCTTGTAGTTCTGGATGAATGCACTGTTCTTGTAGCAAAGAAGGCGCATTTGGAATGTCATGTCAACCTTCTGTCCATTGCTGAGTTTTCCATACAAACCATGTACAAGAACTGAAAACTCTTTCTTGGAAGCCGTTGCTATCTGGCATTGCAAAGATGCGCACAGCAATTTCATAAATGATTGGGTGGTTGGTTTTGCCAGTTGTCTCCCACCTTCTTGTAAGTCAAAGTAGATTTTCACCACTTCAATGTTGTCCAACCAGCAATGTTCTTCATTGCCAAGTGTAGAGAGACATCTTTACCGATAGGCTTCCGCTTCTGAGCCCGAAGAGCATCCAACAAGTTGAAGTCTTCGCCTAACCATTTGTCGATTGCTTTCTGGATTGGGTCAACTCCTTCTTCCACAGGAGTATCCTCGATTCTCCTTCGTTTGGCTTCCTTGCCAATGCAAGAGGGTCGTTGGTTCGTGGCTTGGCCTGTGGTTTCTTCGGACTTGCATTTGCAGTCGCTTGTTCGGCTAGGTCGAATTTGTTTCCCCACATCTGCTTGACCCAGATCGTCAATATCGTCGTGGCTCTCTGCCGAACACCTTTGCCCATCAGTTTGTTTGCCGGGAGGGTATCCGAACCATCGACAACAGTAGCAAGTGTTTCAAAGTCGTCAAGCATGTGTGTCTTACCGAAAGGATTACACATCATGGCGAGGAGTTTGTCATCCTGCTTACAGCTTGAAACACAAGCACCATAGCGTCGCAACTCACTTGGGATTCGCTGGATAGTTTCTGTGGAATCTTATGGAGTTTCGCGACTTTGATTGTCCTCAAACCAATCCTCTCAGTGGTGGAAGGAAGGTAAAGTCCTTGGATAAACGAAGCGTAGAACAAAGCTTCTCCTCCGGCCCTTGTATGGTTGGACATGCAAAAGGCCCTGGGTATCCGGCCAGCAGCAGAGAGTGTGTCCGTGAACTTCTTCATCTCCCCTTCGATTTCTTGTTGGCCAACCACTTGCGGTTTCCTCGGCTTGTTTTCGAATAGCCTGACAAGCATCAAACTCGTCAACCATTACCTTGTCCTTGTAGCGTTTCCTTTGACCGGTGGCATGCGAAAAAGCCAACTGAATCTCATGCATGGCACAGTAGGCATTTTCTCCACTCAGGTTGCGGCCCACCAATAGCGCCGTGTTGGTAGTGTCATTCATGGCCTTGTAGATCATTCGGTCCTCAATACCAAAAGCTTTGAGAATATCCATGATCTGATTCGTGGTGGGCTCTCCCTTCTTGTCTTTAGATTCCGCCAGTGCAACGGAATTCTTAGATAGACACCCCTTTTGGGGTTGTAAAAGAAGATCGTCACTCCAAGTATTTCCTTCTTGTTAGAGTCCCAAACGTCATGAGCGACAGTAAGGAAAGACTTATGACAACCAAAGGTTTTCATATAGTACTGGTCCGTCTCTCCTAGATGCATTCCAACCACAGCCATGAAAGTTTGGTAATCCTTGGCTCTGTAGTTTTTCCAAGTGTTCGGCGTCGGGAATGTCGACACTGTAGTAACATTGCCAAACGCCAGAACGGCCGGGTGGCTTGCGACTGAGCGTGGGAATACTCTTGGCTTCCACGTACTGTGCAGTCAAATCAGTTCCCATTGCCGCGGCCATGGTATCATCGGCAGCTGCAGCTTCTTCATCTTCTTCTTCTTCTTCGATATCATCTTCTTCTTCTTGTTCCGGTTCTTCCAATTCATCGGCTCCATTGACAGCTTCCTCAATCGCTCCCTGTGACAAGATGTCATCATCCTCCACATCAGCCATGGTGACAACAGAAGAGACAACAGAACAGAAGAAAAGAGTGGCTAGCTAGAGTCAACAGTGGCTTCAAAGCTTCAATGAACAAGCTCAAAGTGAGAAAATGGGAAATTTATGGGGCTGCGAGTTGGCGAAATACTCACTCGGTACTCACGAAATACTCACCGAGTACTCACTGGTACTCACTTCGAAGTACTCACCGAAGTACTCACCGAAGACTCAAAAAGTACTCGGAATCCGGAGTCATGTGAGTACGGGTATTGAGTATTACTCACATTTTCGAGGGTCAAGTGAGTATGGGTATTGAGTATACTCAGTACTCAATACCCGTACTCACATCGAGTACCCGCAGCGCGTATTTCACGTGAGTCCCACACCCTGGACACGAGCGTCTTTGTCCCTTTTTTGCCAAACCTCGCTAGAGTACTCCGCCACTCCACCTACATGTACTCCTATAATTGTCTCTCTAATAAAGCTCAGGTTCTCAGGTTTTCGTTGAGGGAAGTGGGGAAGTGTTCTCGGGACATAGTTTCTTGTCGCGCTGATCCTGGAGTCATTCCGAGATTTAAAGCTTATTTCATCTGGCTTTTATGGAAGTTCACAATTGCACTCACGTATGGTACCTACAGTACCGGTACCAGACTGATGACAAGGAGCACTGTTTTTCCGGACATGGGCACTGCCCTAGCCACACTACTAATAGCTACCAGTAGCTCATGTACATGTAGCTGGAGAGAGGATGCGAGGATGCATACACACTGAATGTTCATCTTGTCCAAGTAGTCTCTACAGTACTGGTACCGGTTGGGCTGCCCTATTGCTGTGGGACCACTATTCGTGCAAGCAAGTGTTCGCACGTGTGACCAGACCATCAGACATTACAGTAGATGATTGATGACCCGATTCTTGAATCGAATCTGGACCTGCTAGCTACTAGTACCTGGTAGCTAGTAGGATGCAGTCGAGAGTGGTGCTACTGCATGGTAAGAGTAACGGTGCCAGTGCAGCCAGATTCAGCCATCCTCAGTGGGTCAAAAAGCAACATCTACTGCCTAGATTTTGAAGTCAAAGTACACCGCAATGCTCTTGTTTCGGGGGCCGTAGCATCCCTCACGTTCCAATGATGTGGTTGTGTCGAATTGAATCCTTGCCAACCTGTAAAGTGAGGCGGTGAATGTGAAGTCTTGGGTAGGATCGCGGATAGTGGGACTAGCTTGCTTGCCGGTACCGTTACCCTTGAAAGCCAACGAATGCAACATGGGGCTGTGGGCCGAAGCTGGCTGAATACTTGGCTCTCCTCTGTTGGATAAGTATGCTGCAGTGAGCAATTGTGACAATGTCAAGAAATCGGTGGTGGACGAGGTAGGACAGCAGCTAGCTCCTTGTAACGAGAAACTTCTTCCCACAAAGCATCACATGTGTTTCAAGAGCAAACTATGGATCCGGATCAGTGCTCCCGATCGTCAATATCAGGTTCAATCTTCAGGACATCCATTCTCATGTGCCCAGTTCAGAATCTCTTCATGATCGCACCAATCAGCCATGGTGCATATCCATTTATCCCATTCACATCCATTCATTCTGGCCCACTGCAGAATTTCAAAAGTGCCCACTTCCAGCAGCTGCTGCACATGTTCTGTCATCCCAGGGGCACCCTTTCTCGCGAGCCATATAAAACAGTAAAATGTCCATTGCAGCAGCCTCCATACATGTGCCTCCACCCCGTGCAACCATGGGCCACGGGAATTGCTCCAGTTGCCACCCCGTAGTAGCCCGACCCCATATTTTGTGGTTAGCTACCAGGTAGTCAACGCTGCAGTATACGGTTTTTACACTGTCGTATTATCTATGAACTATGATGTATGTGAGTTCCTAGCTAGCTAGTGCTGACTCGCAATTGGGCCCAAAGCACTTCTCCAGTATTCTCGTTTCGCCTTTCGCACGGTCAAGCCATCGTTAATCGAAGATCGGTTGAAAGATTCGGCAGAGCTTGTTGACTCGTCAGCCGCCATGGGGATCATTGGTGGCGGATCCTCGCCTTTTGTGATATGTGCGTATCGAGGGTACAGCAATGATGCATTCAGACTTGCTTCCGATGCCTCTGAAGCAACACTACCAGAGGAGTCTTGGCGCAGAAGCGACCCACGACCACACAGCAAGGTGCCGACTGAAGAGCCTTGATGAGCCGATTTGAAGGAAGCCGACAACCGGGTCGACTGACCAAGCATTCCTGACCCTCCCATGCTGCCCAACGAGGACCCCTGCTGCGCAGTCTTGAACGATGCCATGCTGCTGGATTGATCTGCGCCGTTAACAGCATTACTCGACGATCGTCTGCGAAGTGCAGAATGATTCAAAGACGAGTCCATAGGCTCTCCTGCAGCTGCACTACGCTGTCCGGCAGCATGTTGGGGCATAGCGTAACCATTGACGTCGTCGCAATTCTCATAACCCAAATCCTCCTTGGTCGGAGCTTTCTTTCCTCTGGTGTCCATGTCCTCCTGCCCTTCATCATCGTATCCAAGATCAGCGCGGGATGGAACATCTGGGGTTGGTTCTTTGTCGGTGTCAACGGTGAATTCGCTGGCCCACGCCAAGGATGACTTCGATGGTGCGGCTCTGATAGCCTTTGTCGCAATTGCAAGCAATTCCCCAACCTGATCTTCGCTCCTGTAGCCTTGGTCCGACATACGCGGTCGTGATTGCTTCTCCGATTCTGACTCGTCGTCAGTACTGACAGTGTAGTGGCGGGCCCAATCGAACGATTTCTTCGTCGACGTCGACAGTCTGTCCGCAACAGGGCGCCGTCGGGCTGAGAAGTCGATCTCCTCTTCGCTGCTTCTACTTTCAAAACCACTGCTTCTACTTCCAAAACTGAATCCACTAAGCCCACCCACGGATTGACCGTCTGAGAGAAGGGACTGAGGATGTTTGCTAGCATCGATATGGTTTGAGAGCGTTGCGGAGTTTGAGCCAGTAGACCCTCTCCTTTTTGCACCCTCATCCGCACCATCAGCATCTTCACCGTTCGTGTTGCTGCTGTCGCCAAGAGGCGGGACCTCCGGAATTCCCTGCTGCAGGCCCTGGCTAGTAGACGATAGCTGAGACCCCGATGAGACGGAGAGATCACCCATGGACTTTCGGCGTCCCCTCCTCTTGGGTTTACCGGCAGGTCCAATGCCGAGAATCTCTTCATTACTGCTCTTGGTACCACTACCCAGCGATCGCTCATCCAGGATATTCTTTGGCTGCTTCTTGATGCTCTTCAAAAAGCATTCAAGTGCAGGTGCTTCGATTCCGAGAGCCACTCCTTTGTTAGTTTCCGATGAAGAGCGAGTCGACCGCTTTGACTTTTTCTCGTGTTCACTGTCACTACTCTTGCAACTGTCGAATCCATAGCCCACTCTGACCCCGTATGCAGTCCTGCCCTTGTCTTTCTTGGGGGGGCCACTGGACAACCCTAACGAGCCACGACGAACTCGAGGGGAATAAACGTCAATGCCGGTGTATTTTTTTTCAGCGTATTGGCAAACAATGCTGTCTTCCTCTTCTTCCGTATCCTTCTTTGCACCCAACGAGGGCAATGACTTGCGACGACGAAATCGGCCCGTTGGCAATGCCAGACTCGGAGGGAACGCCTTGAGCGTCTCCGGCTTTTTGGGGCATGCAACATCAGAGTCTTCACCGCTACTGCAATAGCGGCGAGGTTTGCGAGGCGCTGCGCTGGTCTTACTGCTGCTTGCTTCCGTAGCCGCAGCTGATCTCTGACCTGGCGGTGACGGACGACCCTTGTCGTGGCTGTTGGTCCTTTGCGGTTTTCGATTGATGCAATGAGCGGACGAGGCATGCAAGCGCGTTGCAGGCGGCCGTGTGTCCCGACTGCTGCTGTCGATCATCCCCATGGACAGTCGTCTTCGATTCGTTCTCCGGGCCGTGGCATCCATGTGCTGCACCGAAGAGTCTGCCATCCTTAGTGATGCATCGAGGGACTGCGAATTCGGTGCCGAGGATCGCGTTGTCGTGCTGCCCCATCGGCTACTACTAGAACTGGATGTACCCATTCTTCGCTGCGAATCATCCTCCATGCCAGACGCACTAGTAGTACCAGTACCACCCCTCATGGATCCGCGCATGTTACTCAACTGCGACAGTTCCGTGGATCCCCGTTGTCGATTGGGTTTTCTCTTGGAGGAGGAGGAGGACGACGACGATCCCATTGACTGAGAAGTGTCAATGATGGAAGGCCCGCCAGTCTCACTAATCGAAGACATGTCCATCGTTCCATGACTAGAACCCAGGTCGTCGTCAGAGGGAACGGTAGAGGCAGTGGATGCATTCGATTGCGCCGACGATGACCGTTTTCGTTGCGATGAAAGGCTCCGTCTCTTTTTCTCCGTACTGGCACTGGTGGTTCGCTGCTTGCTGGAACTCTTTCGCCCTCTACTAGACGACGAAGATCCGAGCTCTTTATGCTTTGATTTGACCCCAAGATGGCCGGGAAGGTTGTATCCCGGCCTAGCATCTTCTTCGTCCTCGTCACCGACTTGATGAAAGGACATACTCCGTCTTTTGGCAGGTCTCTTGGGCAGAGACGAGTGTTTGGACGACCCGTCCCGAAACCCCCCTCGCGGTGGAGGTCCATCGTAGCTTTGACTGCGTTTGCTCAAGGCATGAGTAGGTTTGACACTACTGCTCTTTTGTTGATGTTGTGAATGCCGCCGCCAATTGGTATCGCCACATGATGTTATTTGGGATTCAAATAGCTCGGCATTGAAATAGCGAAAATGTTGGTACTTGTTTCGCACGAATTCTCGTCGTGCCGCGGCATCGGCATCCATATCGTCCTGGAGCACTTGTTTATCGTAAACAATGGGACTCAAATTGGACTCGTAAATGACATTCACATAATCGTTCCCTCCGCCTCGTTCCATAATCTCGAGATCTTCTTCCGTCCCTGCACCAAAAAGAAGAAGAAAATTAATTGATAATAGGGAGAAAAACCGAAACGATAATGTTAGAAAACCAAGTCTTCAAAGCAAGAAAAAGGTGGCTTCCTCGTCCAACGGGTAGCTTCCTCGTCCAACGGGTGGCATAATTTATACCCATCAGAGTGAATCCCAGCGAAAAGCTATTGCTTCCTTGCTAATACCCGTCTTGTGGCTTTTCATGCGTCCCTTCATGACGGTACCACACCATGCATAGGTATATAATAGGTCAACACTTACATTCGTCTGGCTTGAGGATGTTCTTGGTCCTGCACACATCCTTCCCTAGCTCGATGTGATAGGTATAACAGCGATAACAACAGAGCACTCCCACTCGTGGCAACTTCTTCCCAGTTGCGGTTGTTGGAACCGCCAGCAGAATGGAAGCCCACGACGGACCAACTTCGGGGCAATCGGAGCATGTTCGATTGGTCGGCAAGGCTACAATGGCATTCAATCGCTTCTTCACCTGATCCTTCTTTGATCGACCTCCAAAGAGATGCATTGTCGTGTGTCGTCAGTACTAGCTAGTATGGCCCCGACCGACCTATTGGCTCTTTTCTTATCTTTCTCTTGTACTAATGATGAATCAATGCAATCCCCTACTAACTGCGGCGTTTTAAGACTTGTAAAAACAAGATTGTTGGGTATGTTGTTTGCTGTGTGTGTTTGCTTGTTTGGTATTCTCCTCAATGACTACTCTGCTTTCCAATCATTCGGCTAGTGACCAAAAGCTTGCTAGAGATAGATGGATGGGCTCTTTCTGCCGATTAATTTTGCTGCTGATGTTGTGCTGCTGAAGTTGCCCTTTTCTTAGTCACTGAGTAATGCTACATAGACAGAAGAAGGACGCATCTTCATCTTGTGATCGTGATCTCTTACAGATTCCACCATAAGTCGCACGGTCATTATCGTGCGTCCATAAGGTGCTGCTCTTGCTAATTCCAAACAGCTGGATGCTTCACTGTAATGAGTACTCCGGGTATAATGACCCAAAGCCACAAGGGACCTTGAAGATTCCATGGAACAAAAGATTGCAAGAAGTGATAAATAGTTGCGGAAAGCTTTGCCGCCCTCTCGCAGCTCTTTCTAACTGAAACACAGATATACTTATGTCATATAATGACCAAACAAAGTGGAACATTGGATTCGGAGATCGTAAAGCGTACCAGTATGATACTAGTACTCAGTAAAGCTGCCCCCCTCTAGCTAGCTGGCTAGCTAGGTTACCGCTACCCCCTAACAGCACTTGGCCCAGATAGACAACACCTGTTGGTGGATACACTGTACCTGGTAGGTACGTAGGTACCAGAGCTGTACAAGAGTAGCGGCACTATGGGGGGATATGACGATGATGATTCCGATTATGCTCCAGCCCCGACGCCCCCCTAAAAAGGTAACACACCGCGCAGTGCTGCCCTTTGCCCTTCTTGAACAGCGGAGGATGTTTCATTGTGACCAGGACGTTAAGAAGATGCTTTCTTTAGGTCATTGGAGCCTTCTTTGCCATTCGAAGGAAGATTGCCACTCTGAGTAGTAATATTGGACTAGACAGACTAGTCTAGTACGGGTCCGCAGCTCCACACTCCACACTGGTACCTACCAAATCACCAACTGGTTGAAGAAAGCTTTGGAATCACTCTTTGCTCGGACTATTCTATGAGATACATGTAGCATCAATTAATTTGCCCGAGACATTGTGGAGACATACAGACTCTTCGTACAAGGGGGGTTTATAGAGTAGGAAGGTTATCTACTGAAGCCAATGAGGGCCAGGCTCAGTTAAAGAAGAGTTGAAACTCAGGATTATGCATGGGCTTCGTGGGATCTGGGGAGATAGCTAAATTGAGGACCAACACTGGGTACGGAATCTTCGTTGCTATAGCCATGGCACTCCGTGTCTCAGTTTGTGCTGCATTTGGCAAAGACAAGAATGCGACTGTACTTTTTTACGTCAATTCCTTAAAAAGCAGGCTAAATTCTCTGCCTCGTCACGATGAAATCAATGCCTTCAAAGCTTGTCAACAGGCAGACCTACACTATGTACAAAATAAGATGGAACTTCCTCAAAGTAGCACCTTCCTTTAGAAGAGCATTAGCATTAGCAATACAATACCTTTATACTTGTAATTTATCAGGAGCAAGACGAAAGTTCAGTGCGATCACGTCTCCAGATATCACGCCAAGTGCCAAGTCCTGATGTGAATCTAGAAATATCTTATATTCAAAGGAGAAGTAAGTTGTGAGAGCCTTTTCTACGTGGAAAGTGGGATGAAAATTTTGACCCAGCGCGGCGCAACAGATACCGGTACCAGGTACCGGTACCGGTACAAGCTGGAGTGGTACTGCTACTGGACGGTAGTAGACGAAGCTGCAAGGCTGCATGGAGTGGCACCGGTTCCGTGTGTGTGTAACATCCAGTTCCAGACGTGCATGTGACTACTGACGAGATCCACAAGTCGTTCCTCGGTCTCTCCTTTAGAATAAGCAGCTCTCGATCTACAATCTAGAAAATAGAGTAATGTATCGGCTCTTAACACTTACGACTACATTTCACCCCACGATCATTATCAATTCAGTCGGCATTCAGTCATCCGGTCCTCTAGGCGGCGAAAGCATAATCTCTGCAAGGGTGTCTCTTGTAGCAACCTCGCCTCAAGGGCAAAGCTGGGGGCACATCCTGCACCTTCTTAGCAACGACGTGTCTCTCTTCTTTTTGGATAGGCTCTGCTGCACATCCAGAGCAACTCGAGTTTGCCAACGAATCGCTGCCTGAAAGCAATGAAGAATTGCTGAGCTGTCTGGTGGGGAGCGTTGGGGCTGAGCGTCGCTTGAGAGCCGTACTATGCTGATAAACCGTCTCGTGATTGTCCTGCCACCCGTCAACTTCTGTCGCGATGCGTCCAACTCCAACGACTTTGATGATGCTGGGAAATGGGCAAGGTCCACACTTGAGGTCCTTTGTTTCCGTGGTTGGGCACGCTTTCTTCATCGCATATGGTTCATCGCCAACCAAGCCCTCAAGTGATGGGATACTCAAACTCCTTCGGGGAAGCGAGGGCGCCTTTGTCGAGGGCATTTTCGAGACAACACAGAACGGGAGGTTCTCGTGGGGGGCTTCATTTTGCGTTCCCGTCATGCTGCTGCGACGACAAGGACAATTCGGCTTTTGATCCACGCGTTCTGGGAGATCCAACCCTGGCAGCAAGTGGACTTCGTGGTCGTGTTGGGTGAAATCCATGGCGCTGATGGAGCCCATGATATCCTCCCATGGTTGACAAGAACACACAACGATCTCTCTTGGGATGCTCATCATGTACCTAATTGTTAAACGATTGATTCAAAGACCTGGTGATTGCTTTCGTCTAGCAGTAAAAATGAAATTGTGAGCATTCTGAACGAAGGGCGCTCTCTGCAAGTTGTGCAAGACAAGATCACAGGGACAGCATCAGGAACGTCGTTCAGTGGTTGTATCCTGAACCATTTTAATTAAGGTTCGTCAATGCGTGGCCGGATCTTTAGCGACAGTGTGACCGTCCTGAAGAAAGGAAAGGCCGACATTGGAATGCTGCCTCCGTAGCTGAAATCCGAATTCCAAGGTTCTTTTCCGGCGACGCAGGGGCCGAAAACCACAACCAGCTAGATACCTCTAGCTAGCCAGTGGCAAGAAGGTTACACAATTAATTAATTGTATCCGATCTACAGCTCGTGTTTCGAAACTTGTGTCACGAAAACCCCTCGCAATGCTCGCATGGTGTTGAAAGGTTGCGTGGAAGATGATGGGGACACTTTGGGAGACTCGACTCGGGCTGGGGCAGAACCCCGCTTCTACGGTAGTAACGTTACAAGAACGCTGGTCACTGTTGTTGGAAGCTGTTGCCAGCCTACCGTATTGGTGTTACATGGATTTTAGTAAATCAAAGTTAAGCATCGCCCGCCTTGCTGGTTCTTCCCACTTCCCGGAGGCCCTCTAGAGGCTTCCTTGGACAATATGACAATGTAAGCAAGGAAATGCCGACACTAAGAGCTGCTGGCTACGGCTCCGTGTCAAGAACACCGGGCTCTTAGCATTCTGGTCACTGTCGTGGGCAGTTGGCAGGTTGGCAGACAGCCAGCCCGTGTTATCATTGTGCACACGTGCAGAGTGACTGTTGCTACAGTACATGACATTGTAGCTAACATGGTGCTTTGCATTTTTTGTTTCCGACTGATTCCCCACGAAGTACCGTCGCTGTAGTTGGCAGATATGGATTGGCCTTCAGGCCAGCCTCTTGTGGCTGATCATCGCTGGACACTGGGTAGATACCGTACGAGTGAATGTTTTGTTGCTCGTTCCTATCATGAGCATCGTCGGAAGGTTTTCAGCAAAATTTAATTGTTACGCTTGAACGAAGCCTGTCACCTGTGGTTCTGCGGCAATGCCTAGGTGGCTTACTCCACCGGGACACAGTGCAAAGGCCGTCTCGGACAAAGGCGGTGGACTGCCGGAATAGGGTTTTGGCCGGAAATATTATCATATTATGCTATCCTCAAAGTACGCTGTAGAAATCTCTTTTGAGGCAGGAAGTTCAGTTACCTCTGGCGAATTCTGCGGGCTGCATTTGATAGAGAGAATTTCTTCCAGAGGGAAAAGTTCCAAAGTCGCCAGACATGAAGAAATTGAATTGTTATGAAGCCTTACAGTTTGCAAGCGACGATTGTCCTTCTACTGTTAGAGACCAAAGCTATCATAGCACCGAAGTTTCCTCTCAATGCTGAGCAGCATCACCCCTGGGAACCCTACCACAAGTCCATTATTAATGTCAATTAGCCCATCAGGATTTCCGTCTGAGAGACCTAGCTAGTCAGAGCAACAATCCAAGTGCATGCTGTGGCAACTACTAGTAGGCCCAACCTGGACACTTTGCTTCCAAATGGTTTATCCGACTGTCCGTTTTCTTATATGCATCATAATAAAGCCTCTACAATGGTATGCTATCAATACGGTTGCTTCCATGACATGTTAGCGATACTCATCTTTTACGTTTGACCAAAACTTTACCGGTTTGACGCAAAACATTACTGGTTTGACACATGTCGAAGAAAACCAGCTGTCGGGGTCGACCCGTCATTGTCGTCCTTGGCTTTCTTTTAAAAATTCCTCCACCTGAGCAATAGTGGGTTGTGCTGCAATGGCGCCCTCCTTGGTACACGTCAAAGCACCGACGGCAGCCGCAAACTGTACAAGTCTGTGGACATCCTCGCTACTGGGTATTTCTTCTATTGATATTGTTGTGTTGTTGTTGTCTCGTCCTCGAAGACATTCCCACCTTTGGCCACCGGATAGGATTCCATGAAGAATCCCTGCTGTAAAGGCATCACCCGCCCCTGTGGTCTCCTGTACATTGACCACAAAGGGCTCCACTCGCCCCGTATGTCCCAACAACGAGTAGGCAGCGCCCTTTTCTCCGGCCGTGACAAACACACCGCTCGAATTGGGAAAGGCTTTGTGAACCTGTTGTGGATTTTCCAGGGCTTCCATGGCAGGTATCCCTAGCAACCATTCCGCTTCCTCGTCTGTCATTTTTACCAACTGTGCCCGTTGCGCAAACGTCAGAATCCTATCCCTGGCATCGTCTTCCCCGTCGGCGGGCCAAAACACGGGTCTCCAATTAATGTCCACATAGAAGTTTGTCGTTGTTGTTGACGCTTCTTCTAGTAGTTTTTCAATACTCTGGCTAGTGGTTGGAAACGCGAGACTCAACGTACCCGACACGATCCATTCAGTGTCTGGCAGCAGCAATTCGCAGTCGCCATTCCACTGCAGCTCGCAATCTGCAAATTCATGGGCGGCTCGACCTTGATAAAAGCCACCAAATTCTCGATTCCCTTCCATGGACCGTGTCACCATGACACGCCTCGTGGGGAGTTGCGAGGATCGCTGCAACAACTCTACATTGACACCACAGTCGGAAAAAACAATTTCCAAGAGGTCCCCATCGGCATCGTCTCCCACACAACCACAAAAGGCAGAAGGAGTTCCCAGTTTGGCACAGGCCGTCGCCACATTGGCATTGGCACCACCCGGAAATGCTTTCCAATATTTGTCATCCTGAGTCATTTTCTCGACTGACCAACCTCGAGCTTCATCGGTAGCGATGCAGTCCAAGAGCGCGTCGCCCACGCAGAGAACTTGTGGGTAAGATGAGCTGCTTATTGACGCGTATAGTCTGCTGTTAACGATAGTAGTTGTAGCCGATCTTTGTACACTGTGACTTTGGTGGATCACAAAGGCTCTTGTTTCCAACCACAGCAGGCAGACGAAACCGAGGAGACATCTCATCTTGGACTTGTGCATGGTGCTCTTTCTTTGATTGTGCTGCCGATATGTATGTTTGTGTTGGCGGCAGCTATTGAGGCGAAAGATCCAAAAGATCCAAAGGATCCAAAAGATCTTAAAGATCTAAACCGTCAAAGCTGTAAAGAGTGAACTCCATTTTATTGAAGCACCACCGCAACATCAAGAAAACAGGCTCCCCAACAACAACAAACGTCCCACCAGAAATGGGCGACCATGACGAACCCATCAAGGGACCAAAAGCTTCAACAGCAACTGGATTCCTTGGGGGATCCCGCTGCCGCGATCAGTAGTGGCGCTAGCTAGCTAGAGATGGTGGTGACCGATCAGCCACCTATCTGTCGCAGTTTACCTGCCGGCATCTCTCCACGATGCGAGTAGAGTATCTTTCTCCCTGCCTAGCTTGGGACCTACCTCCACATTTTTGTCAGCTGGAAATGCAGCAGCCTTCAATCGAGCCTTTCCTGATTCCTTTGACTTTGTGGATCCTTCCTTCACCTCCTATTACCCCCCTGCATATCTCCACAGCAACACCACGACGCTGGATGATTTGTCCAAACAATCAGAAATTAGTACCGTCATACAAGCACAAGGCCAGGCAACCTCATTCATCACGTGAGTCTCCCACTTCTATTGGAAACCCCGCAGGTCAAAACTGTCCCCTCACTCGTCCAGTAGGAGGGACCACGAAGATCAAGCTGGAATCGAGGGCGCATACAAAGGAGGCTGGAGCAGCTAGAAATTTATCCTTCCCTTTCTGGGCGTCGGACAATTTGTCGGTGCTGTCAACAAGAAACTGAATCACCTATACCGTATACAAGCATTAAGTTTTGTGCGATCGTCAATAATACGCTTGATCGGCAAGTTGCACTGACACATTCGACAGTGTCGTATTTATCAATACTCTGCGTATTCCAAATGCTGAAATGGGCGCATGGGAATGGTTGCCCTTTGGATGCAGGGACGGACATTGGAGCAAGCCTATGGTCAAGCCAATTCATGCAGAGGCTTTGGAATGTGCCAAGGGAAACTGATGCCGACTTGATTATCAAGATCGAGAAGTTGCGACGGGTTAGAGTGGACTATGGTGAGGATGGGTTTCAGAGGAGCGAGGAGGGCTGGATGCAAGAGCATGATTATTGATGGGAACTTTGCAACGAGATGAGTTACCTACAAGCTAGTACTCATCATCGTCATTGTTGCAATTGCCTTGCTGCACTGCAGATAGACCATTGTAGCGACTGGGTGCCGCGAAGAATAGGTTCTCCTGCCTCCTCTTTAGATAGCTCTTAGGCTCCTCTCCTGTGTCATAGCTTCTTGAACACTTTCACAATTATAAGGTGGATGCTGTTCATGACCACTTCAAAATCAAATCATGCTGCATTGGTGCTTCTAGGACACTCCAGCACCTTGTGCAGCATTTGTCGGAGCTGTCAAGGCAAACTTATAACCTGCTTTGCAAGTTGCGGTCTCAGCGTGCAACTCTTGGAGGTAGAAAACTGCATGCATTATACTTCACATGAATTACTTATTACCACCCCATCGAGCGTACCTTTGCGGTGGCGGTCTTTGTTGTGGCGGTTGACTTCCAAGCGGTTGGTCAGGAAGTACTCCAAAAACTGGGGGTTTGGGTTCTTGTGCCGGTTGGATGTGTTGTTCCGGAGGTTCTTCAATGACAACTCGGCCCGTTTTGCTATCATGGTCTTGGGCTGGCCCACTTTGATCGTACAATATGCCATCGGATTCCATATTAGAGCTAGTTTCCGCGTTCCAGTTGTCTGCACTCGGTTCATCTTGCAGTTCTTCGTTGAATGGCTGTGATTCCGCTTCGGTTGCTGGCTGTGAATAGTATCCCGGGTGCGATGATTCTCTCTCGATCTGGCCTTGTCGAACGCTTTCCCGAGCCAACGCTTCAGCTTTGGCTAGCGTCTCTTCATACGGTGACCCTGGGCGAGCAGTACTTAGAGGATCGTTCATGAATGCGACCGAGACTCGACCCGGACTCCCAACATCCGACTGCAGAGGTTGGATGAATGCCTGTCTGGCTTTTTCTGGAGGTTCGGAGCTTTGACGTCTTACTCTCGGCTTTTTAGACGACGCCTCGCTTTCTGGCAGATCTTCCAGAAAAAGGCCTTGCGACATAGCCTCTGCTGCCTCAGGTGGTTCAGAAGCACCGTCACTACCTTGATATTCAAGTTGTTCCGTGCTCTCGTGGTTCCCTGACCCACCTGTGAACATCCCACCCTGGTGTTGCTGCGCATCTGTCTGTTCTTCTTGATGTTGTTCCGTGCTGTCATGGACCCCTGACCCACCTGTGAACATCCCACCCTGGTATTGCTGCGCATCTGTCTGTTCTTCTGTTGCTTTTTCAATACGAGGGTCCAGTGATTCCTCCTGAAGCAAGGCAGCATCCACAAAAGCTTCTGACTCTTCAGCAACGTCCAGGACAGTGCTCTGACTGAACACTTCCTCCTCGGCCAGGACGCGCCCAAATATGCTTGCTCCAGCCTCGTGTTGCGGCAAGATGGATGCTTCCTCTTCTTCGGCTGCTGCTAACTCATCAGTTGCAAACCCAGACTCGACAGGAAGGGTATCTCCTCTTGTACCCACATCAGCCTCCAATTCCCAAGATACGTCCAGGATGCTATTGTCTAGGCTTCGATACTGGCTTTCGGTTTCAGTATCTTCGTCAGCTGTATCAATGGGTCGAACAGATGGTCCTGACTGCAGCTCTTGCGGTTCCGTTTCTGACTCGACATCAACCGCTGACTCAAGAAGGTTCTGCATGTCAGACTCGAGACCAAGTTCTACTGCTTCATTTTGCTCAGCTGTGCTGTCTATGTCGGTGCCATCCTGTGAGATTGGCTCATTATCTTTCGTCAGTTCTTGCGGCAGCGCTTCATCAACGGGTAGCTTCTCACTCGTCACATCTGCCATTGTTTCTGGCACTGCGGATTCATCATCTCCAACAACAGACGATGTATCTGGTGAAGGTGGTTCTGATTCGTTGATTGTCGTCTCAGCAGCAGCAGCAGCAGCAGTAATGCCCGTCTGCGAAGGATATGGGTTCCAATCAGGCAGTGTGGCGCTAACTAGAGGTGCTTGGAGAGATGCAGCGACTGACCCGGCCTCCTCATCCAAACGTGTTGGAGCGCCTGGAGCGCCCAGAGACAAGTCGTCTTTCAACGAGTCATCTGGCTCCAAATTCGCCGGTGTCTCGGGTACATCGTCAAACATTGCTACCTGTTCGGTGTTTTCATGTTCTCCTTCAGAGCCAGGTGTCTCTTCCATAATATGGTCGTTCAAAGAAGGCATTGAGTCATCGTCATCATCATCACGGATATCCTCCAAAGTCGCATCCTCTAAAGAGGCGTCAGATTCCGCTAGGGTTGCTTGCTCCTGGTCTTCTTCCTCCTCTCCTCATCGTCATCGCTCGAATCCAGTATGAGCAAGCTTGGTTCAGTTGGAGATTTCTTCATGATCTCCTTGACATCCTGCAAGATGGCACGAGGCGGGATGGAGAAGGCACTCCCGGCGATACCGTCATCGTCACCGTTATCAATGATTGTTTCTGGAGGGGGGGTATCAATATCATTCAGCAGGGTGTTGTCGTCTTTCAAACTTTCGTCGTGTATCACATGCTGCTCCATGGCGCCACTGTTGTTGATATCGTTCGGATTAGCGACATCGTTCAGAAGTTGGTCTTGCATCATCATGTCCGCGCTACCAGCAAGAGCTGACAAGTGTTTGGCAACTGCATCGTCAAAGGCAACAGGCTTCTTGACTCCCGTAGCAGCGGCGGCAGCGATAAAGGAAATGCGAGGAGTAAACGAAGGAGTTTCATTCTGTAGCCCCGGGGAGAATTCCTTGGCAAGCACCTCGGCCTCAACCACTTCCAGGCTTTCGTGCATTCCTTCCGCATCTACAATTTCGTCTGCTTGACCAGCCTCTTCCATTTGCACAGCAGCCGAAGCGTCATCTTGTGGCGGTGGTTCCAAGACAGAAGTATGGTCTTGCGTCTCCTTTGCTATATTCTCAGCTTCACGCTCAACCTGCACATCCTCAACTACGCCATCTCTAGTTTCCTCTACCCCGTTGGCATTTAGCAAAGGTCCTTCATCTTGGACAAGATTCTCCTCTTCAACAGTGTCTTGAGTTGCATCTGCCACTATGGGATCTGTCTGCTCTGCAACCTGTTCAACCTCCCATTCAGCAGGGGCAACATCATCCAACTCATCAAGGCTGTCCATCTCATCTGTGACAACTGTTGTGCCCCTCTCCAGTTCTGCCAAGACAATGGGCTGTTCCTCCTGGTGCATCACATCTGCAGCTTGTTCCTCAATTTCTTCTGTCACAGGAGTTTCTGCCTCCTCCTCTTGTGCCACAACAGGCACCACTTGTTCCTCCTCCTCTGCCTTGTTTATTGATTCCTCCTCTTGCTCTGCCACAGTTGCTTCTTGTTCCTCATCTTCTTGTTCCACCACTGTGCTTGCTTGTTCCTCCTCTCCCTGCTGCAAGGCTGCCCCCTCCTCTTGTTCTGTCAGTGATGTTTCATCTTCTGCCACAACTTGAGTTGCATCTGCCACTATGGGATCTGTCTGCTCTGCAACCTCTTCAACCCCCCCTTCAGCAGGGGCAACATTGTCTGACTCATCAAGGTTGTCCATCTCATTTGTGGCAACTGTGGGGTCCCTCTCTGGTTCTGACATTACAATGGGCTGTTCCTCCTGGTGTGTCACATCTGCAGCTTGTTCCTCAATTTCTTCTATCACAGGAGTTTCTGCCTCCTCCTCTTGTCCACAACAGGCACCACTTGTTCGTCCTCCTCTGCCTTGTGTATTGATTCATCCTCTTGCTCTACCACAGTTGCTTCTTGTTCCTCATCTTCTTGTTCTGCCACTGTGGTTCCTTGTTCCTCATCTCCCTGCTGCAATGCTGCATCCTCCTCTTGTTCTGTCAGTGATGTTTCATCTTCTGCCACAACTTGAGTTGCATCTGCCACTATGGGATCTGTCTGCTCTGCAACCTCTTCAACCCCCCCTTCAGCAGGGGCAACATTGTCTGACTCATCAAGGTTGTCCATCTCATTTGTGGCAACTGTGGGGTCCCTCTCTGGTTCTGACATTACAATGGGCTGTTCCTCCTGGTGTGTCACATCTGCAGCTTGTTCCTCAATTTCTTCTATCACAGGAGTTTCCACCTCCTCCTCTTGTGCCACAACAGGAGCCACTTGTTCCTCCTCCTCTGCCTCATTTATTGATTCCTCCTCTTTGCTCTGGCACAGTTGCTTCTTGTTCCTCATCTTCTTGTTCTGCCACTGTGGTTCCTTGTTCCTCATCTCCCTGTTGCAATGCTGCATCCTCCTCTTGTTCTGTCAGTGAAGTTTCATCTTCTGCCACAACTTGAGTTGCATCTGCCACTATGGGATCTGTCTGCTCTGCAACCTCTTCAACCTCCCCTTCAGCAGGGCCAACATCATTCAACTCATCAAGGCTGCCCATCTCACCTGTGGCAACTTTGGAGTCCCTCTCCAGTTCTGCCATTACAATGGGCTGTTCCTCCTGGTGTACCACAACTGATGCTTGTTCCTCAATTTCTTCTGTCACAGGAGTTTCCACCTCCTCCTCTTGTGCCAAAACAGGAGCCACTTGTTCCTCCTCCTCTGCCTCATTTATTGATTCCTCCTCTTGCTCTGGCGCAGCAGCTTGTTCCTCCTCTTCTTGTTCTCTTGTGCCAAAAACAGGAGCCACTTGTTCCTCCTCCTCTGCCTCATTTATTGATTCCTCCTCTTGCTCTGACGCAGCAGCTTGTTCCTCCTCTTCTTGTTCCTCCTCTTCTTGTTCCTCTTTGTGCCAAAACAGGAGCCACTTGTTCCTCCTCCTCTGCCTCATTTATTGATTCCTCCTCTTGCTCTGACGCAGCAGCTTGTTCCTCCTCTTCTTGTTCCTCCTCTTCTTGTTCCTCTTGTGCCAAACAGGAGCCACTTGTTCCTCCTCCTCTGCCTCATTTATTGATTCCTCCTCTTGCTCTGACGCAGCAGCTTGTTCCTCCTCTCTTGTTCCTCCTCTTCTTGTTCCTCTTGTGCAAAACAGGGCCACTTGTTCCTCCTCCTCTGCCTCATTTATTGATTCCTCCTCTTGCTCTGGCGCAGCAGCTTGTTCCTCCTCTTGTGCCAACAACATGCACCACTTGTTCCTCCTCTGCTGTGTTTATTGATTCCTCCTCTTCTCTGGCACAGCTGCTTTTCCTCATCTCTTGTTCCTCCTCTTGTGCCGCAACAGGCACCACTTGTTCCTCCTCTCCTCATTTATCGTCTCCTCCACTTGCGCTGCCACGGTTAATTGTACTCCTCTTGCAACCACAACAGGCACCATTGTTCCTCCTCCTCTGTCTTATTTATCGCCTCCTCCTCTTGCTCTGGCACATTTGCTTGTTCCTCATCTTCTTTTTCTACTACTGCAGTTGCTTGTTCCTCGTTTCCCTGTTGCAATGCTGCATCCTCCTCTAGATCTGTCATTGATGTTTTACTTTCTGCTGCAAGAGTGTTGGGTTCCTCATCTGCTAGTGCCTCCTCCTGACGAGTGACTGCTGCTGCTGTGTGTTGGTCACGACCACTCTTGTAGCTATCCATTGTAGTGCTACCAGTAGCTGGTGTCGTGGTGGTGGTTTCTTCTCCGGCTTCATCCAAAAGTTCCTCTAGCAATGCCATGACGTCATTGTCTTCCTCCTCAAGTGATTCCTTCAATAGTTCAAGTACTTCCGCCATGGCTGGATCATCCAACTCTTTCTTCTTTTTGGCGCGTTCCTTCTTCTTCTTCTTTTTGCCAGCAAAATATCATCGTAATGGATTCATAGGATGATGATGCATCCGTGCGAGACGGCAAGAAGGAGGAGAAAAACGAGCCAATGCCTCCACCATCACCACCATTTTTGGATCTTTCTTCATGCTGCTGGACAATTCTGGCGGATGCCCTATTTCTTCGTCTTTTGGATCTTCCACTACTAGTTTGGGGCTTTGCAGTAATTGTTGTGGGGGTTTGAGCCACAGGTTCCGTGTGTATGCTCTCTTTTGTTTCCACCGCGTCTTCCAAGTTTTGCAGTGTAGCCAATGGGGTAGGCTCCGCTTCTTTTTCTGCCATTATTGGATCTTCTTTCATTTCTTCTTCCAAGCTGTTCGCAGCCACTGGCGATATCACAGTTTCTTCCTGGACTGTCAACTCCGTTACCCCCTTGATGAAGGACGATCTCCTTATGGGCGGATGTTCAGGAGGTTTGGGTGTTTTTGGTGCAGGCTTTTTTGCAAAGAAAAATGGTACTGGAGGGTCCGTCTTGTCTTGATCAGCCGTAGAACTGACAATCGTCCTTGGTTTTGTCTTTTGTTTCCACGGTTGAGGGAACTGGAAGAACCCACCCACGCTGGACAGAGGGACATGCCGTGATGACGATGATGATGGAACCACAAAGGCGCTGTACCACGGCTTGCCTACACCCGATCCATCTGCCAAGCTGCTCCAACCGACTGTCCCCACTAATACATGTACGAGCAGCCTCTTCATGGTCGATCAATAAATTACTCCTCGACTCGACTCGACTCGCCTTGGATTTCAAATGAATCGAATCACCTTGGATCCAAATCGCCACTGCCTTTCGCCAACGGATAGAAAGATGTCTCTTGCAAACAACAAGTTTCCTCTGTGGATGCCTTCAAACTGACCTGCCTTGATTGATGAATAATTGTTGAAACAAAGGATATTACCGGCTCAATCCTATCATTTTGAAGCACAAAGGCAAAACAAAAGAAGTTGTCCAACGTACTAGTAGACCTCATTCGGCGAGAATCGAACACCCTTTGAAGCAATGACGCATGTGAGGGGCAGGTGTGCGACTGAGTATTCGAATAATTCTTAATAATAAAATCGACTCGATTCGATTCGATGTAACTCTCATAGGTACCACCAACCGATTGTCATCCAAGCCGACTGGCCAGCAGGAAGGACTGTCACTCGACTCGACTCATCAGAGATGGAGGAGATGGGTGTCTGTCGGCTACCGACGGTAGATAGATGGTTGCGTTCGTTGACATATGCACTCTGGACACCAGGCAATAGCAAGGACAGATCCAGGTTGAGGCAGGCGGCCCAAAGAGCAAACCCGCTTGGTGTGGCTGGGACTGAAGAAGGTAGATACTGACATTGTAGTCTTTGGCTTCTGGTCTGATCACTGGCCAGAGGGAGATTGCTACTGTACCTTCTAGCTAAAGAGAAAAGAACATTGAGTTATGGCAAAGACGAAGAGCTTTGGATGACTACTAGCTAGTACTGTACTAGCTGGCAGACAATCAGAACAACTAGCTTAGAATATTCTTTAAAAATCTTTCTGTTGAAGAAGAAGGGCTTCTGGCCTCCAACCAGAACATGCATCTCTTGTTGTGGCCACCACTCGGTATCGAACTAGCTATTAATCGGTAGCCACAATGCTGTTCGCAATCGTTGAGCTAAAAGAACCAAACATTCTGAAATAAGTATCTGTGCAACCACCGAACTTCAACTGTGGCCATTACTGCCTGCTTCTATGGCTGGAATCCTGGTCCCAAAGCATGCAGGTTGAGCGCCAGAACCAAGATCCAGGAAAAGAGGGAAACCGGAATGCATCATCATCTGTTAACTAGTGAGTAATAATTGTGGCCACTTGCTGGTTTTGTGGTTCTAGCGTTCTAGCATGGCAGCTGCCTCCGACGACCAGAAACCAGCAAGGTCGGGAACCAGACTGCAATCCTTTTTTGACAGTTTCTCAAATGAGAAAGTAGTTTCTCATTTGAGAAACTAAGTTCTGAAATGAGAAAGTTAGTTTCTCATTTGGTTGAAATGAGAAACTATCTTTTGAAATGAGAAACTATATATGAAACTGCTAGTACATGTGTTGTGATTTCTGCCAGAAATGAGAAACTATTTTATCAAATGAGAAACTAGAACTGTTAGTTTCTCAAATTGAGAAACTAAAAATGAGAAACTAAAACTAAAAATGAGAAACTAAAACTGTTTGAAAAATTTCAAAACATCATGGGGGTTTCCGGACCTTGCAGAACTGCCGCACCTCCATCTTGCATCATCCTTTAGTCTAGTATCATCAGGATCGTTGATTTGGCCATTATTGTGGTCGTCTCAATAGGTTCCCAATGTTCCCATAATCTCTAATCTCTAATCTCAATCCACAAAGCTACTGTATCCACAATCCACCCAGAAAACAAAAATACTTAAGAACCCAAAGAAGCCATCGCACTTCTTCGGAAGCAAGCGGACTCCATAAGTCATTTGAAAGATAGTTTCCTGTGCACTGTGCACTTCGACTTTCCACCCGGGATCGTAGTTCTGGATGCCACCAGCAACGAAAGCATGCAACATGCTACTACATGTAGTACCGGTACCTTCTACTCTGTAGCAGCATCACTGCACTAGTAGTATTGTGACATTGTGAACTCATTGTGACAGTGTGACAGTGTGCCCCATTCTATTCATACGGGTACAATGTATGTTATGTCACCGTGCCATTTTCAAGACTTAAATGACCAAACCTCAAAACTTAGTACAACAATGGGTGGGAAATGTCAATAATTGTCTCTTATCTCTTACTCAAAGGAGAAGTTCGATGCTATTCCGCATAGTATTGGTACCGGTAGGGCAATCTGAGTAGGGCTGACGTACCTGCTTCTCGAACTGCCTTCTGCACTTCTGCAGCTCTTCTGCCTTGGTTTCCACTTTCCAGAAGGGGCAAAAGTCAAAAAAGTCCTAAAAGTCTCATAGAAATTTCCGGAACATTGGCAATCACTCAATTGCCACATCATAGTCTTGCTGGAACCACGGGCGCTTGCGTCTTGCAATTGACCATGGAATTAGAGCAGCTCCTGTACTGTAGCATAGCTGGACTTCGACACTCCAATCCGAATACCGTAGACTGGTCGACTGGTCTACTCGAGTACTCATCAGAGTAGGCCTTCAAAATATCGAATCAGTCAGTCCCTTCATACTGCTACTTCGTACTTTGTTTGGTGGTCATATTATTTAGTTTTCGGTGGCTAAAAAGGCGATCCAAAGATCAGAGGCTCTGTTTCTCTGTTTCTCTTTTGCTTCCCTCTGTTTCTCGTGGTCTCTCCTTTTCATTTGCTTGGTTAGCGCTCATTATTTTCTGCTCCGGGGCAATCTGCTTGCCACAAAAAACAGCTTCTCTTGTTAAAAATCACGGTGTCACTTTCTCTCTCTGACCATCGTTGCTTTGGCTTCGATAATCAGCAAAGAATACTAACGTGTCGTCGATTGCTTTCCCAACGCAACGCAACGCAACCCTTCCTCATCCACTACGGTACCAGGTACCGATACATTCTTGCGACGACAATGATCACGATACGCCTCCAACGTTTGCACCTCTTTCTTCTTGCCTCCGCCGTCCTCCTACTAATCACCGGGATAGCCGCCCAGCAGGAAGCCTCCTCAGGATGCGCCTCTGCCATGATCCAACCGTATGATCCCGTCCGCCACGAGCAAACAGCTGTTACCAGAAGTATCACGATGGCGTACACTGGCCCAGACCTGCCAAACTGTAGCGTGGATTGCCACTCTTCC